ATTTCTCTACATATTTATTCTATATTTAACCTCTAACTTTATTATTAACTTGTTACAAGTAATTGGATTAAAACAAAGAACCACTACAACAATTTAAAGGCTTGGCGACAGTGACTTGGAGGCAGTTTCTTCCAAACCGCCATAATAGATATTAATATGTGTTGAGATGAGAACATGTTTTATATGACACTATGATATGTGTTGAGACGAGAACATGTTTTATATGACACTATAATATGTAATGCCATGATGTTTTCTTTAACCGTGATAAGATATGTTTTGTGATGAATATATGTGATGTATGAGTGGTAAGGTAGAGACTCACATTTACACAACATTTTTCAGGAAACCAGGATGAATAGTATCAGGCTCACAGTGTATGGATGGATGAGAACTGCTATAGGACTTAGTTATTTTGAGTTATGTAATAGATATTTTCAGTTCTATAACATTCTTTTGAAACAGTTGTAAAACTACTATTTCTTTTTGTTGCTGATGAAAATTCTAGAATCTTTGTTTTTTAAAATACTTATGAATTAATGAAATTTTACTCTATGAACCTTATATCATTTCAATGTCTCTTTCTTATTTGAGAGTTTTTGAAAGAAAATTTACTTTACCATTTAAATTTTTATGAAAATTTATCATATATTGAGGAAGGAAATATAAGGTGGTACATCTTGTGCCTTCTTGCCTAAGCGAGAGGACAATTGGGCAATATTATCTATATTTGCGTGGGAGAGATTCATCTCGTCTGAGCAAGAATGCTATGCAACGAGTGATCCAAAATAACTAATTTCACTTGAGCAAGATATATCTCGCTTGAACAACATCTCCTGCAATTTTTAAAATTTAAAAATTTTTAATTTTTAAAACAAATTGTAATAATTTGCAATAATAATAAAAAAAAATAAGTGTTACAAATCTAAACATTGAATTAAATGATCTTATTGAGTAAGCGTGAGCAAAATTTCATAACCGACACGAATTTGATAAACAAAAGTTAAAATTTAATTCTAAACTATATTAGGTCGGGTCATAACTTTGGATGGATAAAAAAAAAAATTAAGTTTATCGGATTAAAATTAAGATTGATCGATTTTGGTTCCTTTAATTTTTATTCGTAAAAAACGGTACCAACCAAATATTTACCCAAATGAGGACATACAATGTATGTTTCTCACCAACAAAATGGCAACAATTATGAAAAAGTAATGGAGAGAATTAAGACTTACAATGTTGTGGTTTCGATGCATGTCTTGTCTTTTTCTTTTGTTAGCAGTTGTTTTAGTTTACTATTTCACTGAAGTTTCAAGAAAGTTCCATTCAACATTTGTGTCTCATCTAAGTCTTAATCGTTGCAATTTACTCATTTAATTTGTTATCCATCTTAACCGAGACCCCCTCAACCCAGCAAGACCTTCAAATGGAAATGACTACCTTATTTGTAAGGTTGGATTGTTTTGAATTTGAATTCTTGAAGTCCAAAACTGTTGTTCGAAATCAACCCTCGCCTACCCTTGTTATTGAGTATATTAAGTTGATATAAATAAAAAATTAATTAACATTTCAATGAATAATTTTATTTTAATTTATAAGATATTTTTAAAAATATAAATAAATATTGAATTTAAAATTACATGCTTCTAATTGTCTAATTTATCTAAAATTTAATATGCATTATTAACGTGTTAACATCATATCATTCGTTGAATTGATGAAATTAAATATGTATAAAAAGTTATCACACAAAGTTGTTATAATATATTTTTATAATTTTCACAATTTATTTTTTATCTTTTCATTACATCGTAGATTTTATTTTGCACCCTTTGTTCTTCTGTTTCGTAAAAGATATAATAGAAAAAATGGGAATATAATTTATCTTTACAATATTTCACATATTTATCTCTAATTATTTTACTAAAACAATAATTTCAGTGCCAGTATCTATTTAATTTAAGATGAAATATTCAAAGGAGAAAATATAATTTTTTGTTTCTGCTTGATTTCTCTGAAAAATCTTACAGCTGGGTATCGTGGAGAAATTTTAAGCCGAAAGATTGTGATTCACTTGCTACGGAAATAGTAAATGTTTCATTTTCTTTTTCGTCTTATCCTATCGAATGGACACAAGTATTGTTGCATCTCAGTGGTTGTGTTATCTTGGACAGTTTGATATGGCTACGTCTATATCTTTATGTACTTGTGTAAGCTTTATAATCAGTTTATTTGAGTTTTTTATTTAATTTATATTTAATAGTAATAAATTATAATCTATTAAATATAAATTTAAAAAATTAAATTAAATATAATAATTTTTAAATTTATACTAGTGTGAGAAAATTATATATATATATATATATATATATATATATATATATATATTGTATCTAGATATATCTTTCTCTATTCTGAGTATTCGTAGCTAAATCTTTCTCTCGTCATTGTCTTGCTCAACTATATATATAGATATAAAAGGCTAACTATTTTATTAAAATTACAATATTCTGAGATTATATTATATCGTTGTCATATTTAACAAGTGTATTAGTAAATTCTAATTTTGAATTTCTTAAAATAATCTTAAAAATGTAGTTATATGAAACCCTTGCACCGCTCATAAATGTTAATGCACTACTACGGTGATTTTCTAGAAAGAGCATTTTGACATACAACAACTTAAATTTATTAAAATATTTTTAAATGCATAACTTGTTAACATGATTAACAAATTAAATGGAAATATGTGCGTATCTTTTATAAGGGATCAACTTATACAACTATAATTCACTCTAAATCTTTTTTATTCAACAATATTTAGTTATATAACTCAAAACTCACTCTTTGATACAATAAAAATTGATGCAATATATATTTTTAAAATATATAAAATGAAAATTCTCTGATTATATTTTTATAATTGTTTTATTTTGATAGTTATTGATACAAACACTTAAGATAATATATAATGATAATTACACATGAATGACTAATATTATTTTATTTTAATATAATGTTAGTTTTGATTTAGTTTTAAGGTTTTTTTATGTCGATTTAGTTTTAAGGTTTAAATGTAGGTTTTAGTCCTTATAAGAATTGTTTTTATTTGATCTTTAAGTGAAAAAATGTATAAACAAATCATGAATAAAAAAATATATTAAACTTCGATTCCTGTCGTTTCCTTACGTTTTATAGATATATATTCACTTTAGTTAATCACTTAATACTTGAAGTTAATTTACATTCTTTCATATTGATCTCCTACGATAAATATAATAATTTCTTTTTACCCAATGTCAATAAAATCATCGTTTATAATCCATCGTTAATTATCATTATTTTTCTCAGATGTTTAGATAGTTAACTTCATAACACATGGGATTGGGATTGAAAAAGAAAGGTGCAACTTTGGTGTAGAAAAGATTGAAGAGATTTAACATATTCTTAAAAAATGAGTGATTGACATGATGATAGCATAAGAAACTTTTAAATAAAAGAAACTCAAAAGATAACCTTGATTGATAATCATAATAAGTTTTATCGAGTTATATAAAGGTGATTTACTGACTTATATTGAAAATAAGTTTCTAAAAGGACTAGAAAAGCATTTAAAGAGTTTTAAAGAAGGAAGACATCTCAATCAAACTAATCGAATTTCTTAAATTGATTGCTTTGCTATTAATTAAAGGACCGGATTGTAAGTTCCGGAGTCCTTTGAACTCGATTCATTTAACGGAATTGTAAATCGATTCATTGTAAGATCTCAATCCAATGCCTTAACATTCATTGAGTGAACCGATGTTCTTTGGTGAGTTTCCACCATAGTTTTGACGTGTACAGACTAGTAAGAATCACGATTAGAAAGATCTTTAAAAGCTGATGGATCACCCCTAACAATAAAAAATGCATTTACAACATAAAATTTATCCTAACCGGCAACTAGAACTTGAAGAAAGGTCGCATCCAACGATATGAAGATTGAACAAGTCACCAAAAAAAAAATATTAGAAATAAAAAGGATTAGAAGAATAATATTCTTTACCTACAATATCAAGCTTAAATCAACACAGCTAGAAGAACATTCTCAAGCAATTTTACTGACGAATCAAAAAGTGCTTTTGCAAGAATCAGCTTCTGTCTCGAGACTATACTTCACAAGTACAAAAAGAATTCTAAAAAAATTGAAGATTAGAAACTTGAATATCCATAGGAAATGAAATGCTAAACCACTTGATCTATCTTTCATCTACCTACTTGAATCAGCTTTAGCAAAAATCTCTTTACGTATATTGCTCCGATTCTTGTGTAAACCAACTGAGTAATTTCTAAGATTATCCATTTGATAAACGCCTATCTTTAGTTTGATTTGTTAGCTAACATATCATACTAAGTGTCAAATAATACTCACATTTAGATTACAGTAATGCCAACTTCATCAAACACACCAAATTCAGACTTCATCAGTTTGGTTTGATTCAATCCAGTCCACTTTTATCAAACACTTTTCTTAAATACACTTACTTTTAATTTCACTCTTTTTACTTTCCATAACTAATCCTCGACAAATTTGCCAAAAAATATTAATAAAAACAATAGTTATAAATAATATTATTTATAAAATTATATAGAAAAACTATAAGCTAAAATATAATCATGTAGAAGTAATCTGTAGAAAACACATACACAATAATACAACTTTATTACGATTTGATTCAGTTTCGTGAATGAATACCAAAACTGAATCGAACAGATTATTTTTCTCCAAATAAAAAACGGAAAATTAATTAGCAGGGTTTAAAAATAGACCTTAAATTTATTTTAATGAGCTTCTCTAGAATATAATAAACTCTCATTTATCAAGAACATAATCAATTATTACTTAAGCTGTTTATCCCAACAACCACTTAGTTAGTTTGTTAATTTTTTTCAAACCTCTGTTTATATCAATTTGGTTCAGTTAGGTAATTCATATTTGGAACCACTGCACAGCAAGAAAAAGCAGATAGTGCGACACAATTGCACTTTTCACCAGAATTATTCGTAGAAAAGCAAAACCTACCGACCCCAAAATGAAAATAAGACAGAATAATTTGAGGTTGTAAGCCAGATGCCATGTGATTAGGCAGAATTCAAATAAAGTACAATCACTCAACAACTTCTACACAGATACTCATGAAAGTACAGAAAATTTAGGTCCCATATGTTGTGTTCTTACTGCCTTACACTTCCTTCTAACAAGGCATAGTTTGCATTTCTTTTGAAGGCAAGAAAACAACTAGAGCTAGAACAACCAAGTCATAACACATTTTATCAGAAATGATAACTAGCAGGCAGTTTAATTCTTATCAGTATTGTTCTCCAATTCCCTTCTCAGCTGAAGAGAGAAATCATCGCTCACATCATCATCATCCCAATCATCCTCCCACTGTTGGGTCACTTCTTTCCCTTCCTCTTTGTCATCCCACTCTGAAAGTTGCAGAACAATATAGTGCCAAATAATTCGCAAGAAACACAAAGGCCCCAAACAAATCAAGTTGAATATGCAGTCTCTAATACCCAAGTACTTTCAAATATAACAAATAATCGAAGCAATTAAAAGAATCCTACTTTATGCACACTAAAAGTGTTTACGACTAATGAGAATCAGGATCTACAGCATGAGAAGCTAACTCCTGACAGAATAATGCCTCGTAAGGATGTATTGAGGTAGTATTTTATAGACATGTTAGTGGGAACAGAATACACATAACATGAGTTCTAACCAATGTTTGGTATAATTTAAAAAACATAACAGAACATGAGTTAAAAAATGCTACATTTTTGTTCTATTGAATAGGGTGGGAACTAAAGGGTACAAAATAGAACAGGATAATTCATTTTGTTCTCCACACCCGCCAAAAGCTACCTTAGTCTCATTCAGTCTTCAGATATGCAACAATAAGTGGTGAAAACCCTAACTTGTTAAACGACTGTCGTTTTGCATTAAACCGATGAATGCCACTTATGAAGGATTAGACGATAGCATGAGAGATCGATTTCTTAGGAATCAAAACGTCAAGTAGGTTAAGTTTAACTAAATTTGAAAATAAAACAATTTTTTTGGTGATAGCGTTAGAGAATGAGAATACCAAGATTTACCTTCATTGATCTCAAACTCTTCAAATTCATCATCGTCTTCGAAGAGATCGATCTTGACGTCCTCGGTGGCTGCCTTTGGTTCGGTCGCCATACCTAAACCTGAATCTGCACTTAATTGGAAACCAAAGTGTATTCATATATAATGAATCCAGAGATGAAAAAAAAATTGGGATAGAGGAACCCTAAGTTTGATAAACGATAATAAGGTATGCCATCTAACCAAACAACGAAGAATTTATGTAATCAACAATAAGAATGAAAATAATACTCACCGGCTGTGTGTAGAAAAGAAACACCGATGATCCTGGAGTATGAACGCGATGAGCCCTAGGGTCTTCTGCTTTTGAATGAAGTAACGTGAAAGAGGGTTTATACTTTATAGTGAATACTGGGAGCAGAAAGAACGACGTCGTTAGCTAGAACTAATTTTTATTAAAATTGAAATATAAGAACATAAATTCCTTAAATTACTTGATTTTATTGATAATTAAAAAGAAATTATGGTGTGTTCAATTTGTAGAATTATTTATTTATTTATTTTTAATATTTATAATAATAATAACAAAATTTTACATTAACTTTTCACTTTAATTTTGTTATTCATAATTTGTTTCACTTTTTATATTTTAAATTTGATTATAATATACAATTATTAAAAAATTCATCATAAAATTGTAACAATACCTGTGTATTTTGATGAGTTTCAAAAAAGCATATTACTTTATTAATTATATATATATATAATTGATAATTATAGTGACTCTATTTAAAAAAAATAGTTAAATTTATAATTTTTAACTTATAGTTAATTAGTTAGTTAAAAATTTGTATAAAAGTGTATAAATTTGTAAGTAATTGATTGAATTAAATTTATCTAATAAAACTTACTAAAATGTATTAAATAACTTAAAAATAAATTAAAATTTACACAAATGTGTAATTTATTTAAAAATAATAATGTAATTAAAATAAAATTATTGATATTTAAGCTAAATGTATTTTACAAAATAATAATCATATTTAAGTCTTGTATTTAATATTTTACATGACATTCTTCAATTTTAATTTTTAATTTTCTTTTAATTTGCCTACTTTATTTGTTTCGTTTGTTAACTTTTAATTTATTTTATGAATATGTTTTTAAAAAACTTTTCATATTTCAATTTTGTTAACATTTAAAATTTTTGTCACTTATTTTAAATTTTACTATTTTTTAATAAATTTTAAAATTCTCCTTTTAATTTTTTCATGTTATATAAAAATTGTGACTTCATGAAACTAATAAATTGAAAGAATTTTGAAGAATAAAATTTTTCTAAGAAATTATATGTCACCTTTATTAAAAGAATTTGTATATCATATATACATAAATTAAAATAAAACTATTAACTTAAAAATTATAATTTATATTTGCATTATACTTGCATAAACATTTATAAGATAATTTAAAATATTTTCTAAAAAATATTGTATTTGAAAATTTTTAAGAGAATTTTAAATATTCCAGAAATCAAAGTGTGCACTATTAATATATAATTCAAAGAAGGGTATAAAATTTCAGTTTCATCCTAATTTTGATTTAGGATTTGGGACGAAAGAGATAAAGAAAAAAGGATAACAAAAATTAAAAAATAAAAAAATAGTAAATTTAAAAATACACTATCTTATTTTTTTTTATAAAAAAAACATGCACTATTTTAAAACTTGTGTAGCGTAAACCACACATAAATAATAAATAACATGTTATTAATATTTTTCTTTTTTATAATAGAAATATTTAGGATTCTAAATTTCATCTTTAAATCATTTTTTATTGCACATTAATCCTTTGCACATTTTTTTTAAAGGATTGAATATAATATATTGATTACAAATATTAAACTTTATATTTTTATTTAAAATAAATAAATCAGTTGTTTATTTGTAATATTTTTTGTTGACATATCATTTCTTAAAAAATTCAAATTAATATTTTATTAATATATTAAATGAGGATGAATAATATTAATTTCCAATACTTTTATTATTTTATTTTTGTTATTTTAATATTTGAACAAAATTTTCTACAGTTTATTTTATAAATATAAAACTTAGGAGCTTTCATTATATACAATAATTTAATGTTTTAAAATATAAATAATTAAACATATGTGGCAGAATAGTTGACATTTAAATTAAAATATCAATATTTTATGAAAATAATTATAATATAATCCTAATTATAAGACTATTTTTTCTCATTTAGGAATTTTTTATATTTAAATAAAATAAATAGAAATCTTTAAAGTGTGCTCAAGTTATTCAAGGGTGATAGTGATGCAACTTACAATACAAAGTGTGTTCAAGTTAGTATAAACGTGGGATTGAATTTTTTGGCAATTTTAATCTTAAACTACGAAGGAACATATTTTTTTTTCACATAACTCTAATTTATATAAATTATATATCTATTTTATATAACTTTCAAAATTAATTAATTATAATTATATAAAATTTAAGACAAATCATCTAAAGTTAACGTAACCTTCACATTGTTAAAAAAACATTTTACAACAACTTTCAAACTAGTTAATATCAATGACATTCTTTAAAATAACACCCTTTTTTTACACATTTGTTGTTAAATAATTAATGTAAAATATACATTTTATATATGTTTAAATCTGAATCAATGTAAAGTTCATAACTTTTAAGATTGATTAAATTTTTAATATTAAGAAAATGCATTAATTAAAATTTAATTAATATAAAAAGTATATATAAGTAATAATAAAATTAGTAGTTTGTACAATACATAAGAATTTTATTTTAAAATAAATATATAAATAATTTAATAATTCAAGAACAAAATTTATATATTTTAATAAAGGTAAAAAATTAGTATTTTGGTCCTCCAACCTTAAAGTAAGTTTAAATTTCTCCTCTAACTTTTTTTGAATTCATTTTAGCCATTAACTTGTAAAAATGTTTCAAATACATTTTGTTTCCATTAAAAATGATAATTCTATTAAAAGTTTTTGTTATTTTCTATCACATATATTGTGTAGATATTGTTCATCTTCTTCAAATCTCTTATTGTGTATCCTCCATATTTTTCTCTTTTTTCTTTCTTTCATTTTCATCTTTATTTTTCTTTTACTTCTTCTTCCTTTCTTCTTTATCTCTTTGACTCTTTCTTAATCTAACATCAACACTTGCTCCTTCAAACAAATGTACTCATCTAATTACAAGATTTATGTCTTTCCTATATGATAAGGTTAGTTCCCTCTTTCATAAATGCTTTGTCATTAGATTTTTTGTTTCCCATTTAAAAGCTCCAATAGAATAGCTCCAAAGCTATTAAACATCACTTTTCACTAATATTTTGCATACAACAAATAATCATCAATTTGAAACAAAGTATTGTAAGGAAAAAAACCATGTTTAAGTAAGTTGTATCTATACTAGGTTTCAAGTATCCAAAAGTTTCGGCTGCAATTATTAAAATACGAGTTTTATTTGGATACATCAAAGTGGCTAATCTAAAATTAGAAAGTCAGACCTTCACATTCTGATCCAACAATATATTATTTGATTTGATGTTTATGTGGATAAAGTGAGGTATGGAATCACGGTGAATATAGGATATTCCTCTGGAAGCACCTATAGCTATTTTGTATCTGGTTGGCCAAACCAAAATCTTCTTGTTCTTTGATCTTCTTCCATCACTTTTAATTTTTTAATTAGAAAACAAAGTTCAATTATCATTTGAAGAAAATCAAGAAATATGAAATTTAAGAGATGATAGTTTCATTTCCATCAATGTATTAGATGTAAGAATGATGCTGCACTTAATAACAAATAAATTTTAGTATTTTATCTCAATCTTAAATATTTCACTAGTTATATTTGGTTAGAACAAAGACATTGTTGACTTTAGGTGAGATGATGGATGAGTATAACTATTTGAAAAAGCAAAATGTGATGTTAGATCAAGAAAGAGTCACAAAGATAACGAAAAAAAGAGGAAGAAGAAGAAAAAAAAAAGATAAAAAGATGAAAGGAAGGGATAAGAGGATGAGGAAGAGATGAACAAAGAACAATATTCAACACAATACACACTCAAAAAAGCTTTTAACAAAAAATAATTTATTTAAAATATTTTTACAAGTTAAAAGATTAAAATAAACAAAAAAATTGAGGACAAAATTTAAACTTATTTTAAAGTTGTAAGATAAAAATACTAATTTTTTTAATAAATTATTATATATATAAATATATAATAAAATTATTTATACAATAATTTTTTTAAAAAATTATTTTGACTTAACTCTATGACTATGAATATTATGTATTAAAATGATAAAAAAATTAATATTTTTAAAATATATTTATTTTAAAATGATAATTTTATTGTATAATGTAAAAAAAATTAGTTAAATATTAATAATTATAAATTTAGGAGATAAGACTCTTAAAAGTAAACTATAAATTTGAAAAATAAAAAATAACAATTTTTTAAAATGTTAAAATATGTATTTAGAAAAAAATATAAAAATATTATATAAGATAATAAGAAAAAATTAATTAATAACTTTAATATTTAAAATTTAGAATGAATTTAATAAAGAAGTGGATAAAAAGTAAAACATTTGCATAAAAAGATAGTGTAATTTATCTATCATTTTTAGTCAACTTTAATTAAAAAAAATGTACATGTAGCAAATTATAAAAAAGAGTAGCTTCATGAATATTTCAATTCTTAAAGAGTAGACTCTTATTTATAATATAAATATTGATTATTGTCATTAAGTCATATAGTATCTCTTTTACTTAGTGTTTAAGTTTAAATTTATTCATTTCTACTTAAAAAGTTATTTGTGATTTTCCTTTTTTAGGGGTTGAATGTGAGTATGTTATTATATATACCTAAGGTCACTAGTCCTTAAGTTTTAAGCTATGAAATTAATTTCAAGTTTGTCATATTTTGAAGTGCACATAAAGGATATAAAGTAAGCCTCTCTTAAACATGACAATTTGATGGCAAGGAGTACAAAGAAAATCAAGTTCAACAATAAGACATTAGATGATAATCTATGAAAAATATAGTAAATGAATCATCATTTGTAGATATTTCTAATTATATAACATCTGAACGACCTAGTATAAGTTTAAGTTCATATAAATATAAGTTTTTGTCTTTTTATGAAATTGATTTTAATTTTAAAGCTATTATGATTGTTTTTTCTATTAATTTTTCTTAAGATTTTGAAAATAATGTTCAAAATTTAGTTTCTAATATTTGTATGTACCCTAATTATAAAGTATCTTTTGAATATTATGAAAATTGGTATTCTCCTTTAAAAATAGAGATATAAAGGTTTTAGATTGG